AGCCTGCCAACCTCTTCATAAAAGCAGTGGCGACCTCAAGAGGAGGAAACGCATCAATCTAACAAAACACCCCGATCAAGTTCAAGCAGGTAAGTTTCAATTACATTTTTAATATTTAGAGCTTCTGTAATGAATATTATTCCATATTTTAATTTGAATTTCGGATTGAAATAACCATCGCCGTTAGCGTATACGTAGTTAATCGCTAGCATAAGCACGGCTAACGCTAATATAATGAGCATTAGAATGAATTTTGTTCAAAATAGTTTCTTTAACTATTTAATGCTCCTATAACTTTTATTTCTGGTCGGCGTTACAGAGCACCGAATACCAGGACAGCCAGGCACAAGAACAGTTTCTTTCCCCAGGCAATCTACCTCATGAACAGTTAATGTTCTCCCATTGTGCAATTAAAGTATGTGCAATAACCTTATACTTATTTATCACCCTAAATCCTAGTACAACCCTACAACTTTATTTTATTTTATTCTATTCCTATTCTATCTATAGCACACCTGTACATACAATTTATTATTTTTTTGTGGTTTATATTTATGCATGTGTATTTTATTCACTCTTTTTTATTATCTGTGTGTTGTTGTTGTCTCCGTGTACTGGAAGCTTGTGACACTATAACAAATTCCTTGTATGTGCAAACATACTTGGCAATAAAGCTCTTTCTGATTCTGATTCTGATTCTGATATAATGAAAAACATCAACAAATCTGAAGTTAGTCATTCATATAAACTTTTCAATTCTCGTGAGAAAAAAGAGAGAAAAGAATATCATCTTGAGTCTTTGCCTTCATTAAATATTATGAATTCATATATTTACACACATCACTTAGATCGGTTCAGAGAGCAAAGGAAATCAAAATAATCACATTTTATCACCACGTGACCTTTGACCCTGGAGAAAGATCCTAAAGTGACAAGTCTGATACTCCACATTTCCCTCAATAGTCCAACAATACACTGTAAAACTGTTACGAATCATGTGTTACATTGATTTTGTAAGTTATTAAAGCTGCAGTCTTCCTTTTTTCACTGAATGTCTGCTTAAAAAAATAGAACAAGCTCAACATATTTAATCGACAAAACCACCTATATTTAATTATTCTACATATTAATCATATAATTTATGCTAAAAGACTGACAGTGAAACTGAAATCATTTATTATGATCGCAAAGTGTTAGATTAAAACACACTGCATATGAAACTCTCCACATAAAGTCCTTCATCTCATCAAAATAATCACGTCATTGAGCTCAACATCTGCTTCCCTCGATCTGTTATTCATAACCATCACTCAGATGTACAGCACAGCATTTCACACGTACAGTATATGAATCAATCACGAGTGTGAGCTTCACAGCCGCTTTACATCAGCTTATAATATACAATTCACCTCCTTAGGTCTCTAGTTTGAAATACAGAAAATATCCATATCTTTTTATAGTGTATATATATAATGTATATTTATATTTATATATATATGTATATATTTCTTCCTGACCCAAAATATTTAAAATCATGCTGCGTAATAATTTAAAATGTCCAAAATAATACAAATAAAATGCTAATAATAATAATAATATATTATATATTCAATTCTACATACTAAAAAGCTATTTTAAATTA